GGGGGGGGGGGGGGGAGGGGGGAGAGAGAGAGAGAGAGAGAAGGGGTTGAGAGCTCGTCGGAGCTAGTAAGTGGAGGAGGGAAGGAAGGCCACAGCTGGGAAGAGGATTGGGGGCATTGTCGAAGTTGGGATGGAATTAAGTACAACGCAAAAATGAAAAAAAAAAAAAAAAAATTGATGTTTGGGTAATTTAGGAAGTTCACAGTTTTCACTCACTCAATTAGTTAATTTAGTCCCAAAAAAAATTTTAAGGGGACAAATTGTCGAATTTAAACCCTGAGGGAGTCGATTGCAACATGACCCAAATATGAAGGGGACATTTTGTAATTAACCCTATATTAATTGGATTGAACAAAAATCAAAAGACACTTCTTACTAACAAATATCACCGAACTTCCATAGATTATATATTAACTCGACTATTCTATGGAATGAGAAACATTTCAGTATTTGGAGTGCCACAAACTCTTAACACATGCCTATGGAATATTTTGGACTACAAACATTTGTGTTCCAAAACGACAATACGTCATGTTCCGAAAGTCCTACCAGAACGGCACTTGCGATTAGCATTTCTAGTGACCTGCATGATTCTATCTTCTAGGCTAAGTAATTTTGGATAATTTAGAAGGACAAGCTTATCAAAAACCCACATACAACTACTTAAGATACCACCTGATTGAAATTCAGCAATGCCTAGGTCACATCCTTTCTTAGAATGTATGCCATCCTAACTTTTTTCTTCCACAAACTCAATTTATACATTCTCTTTGGCCGTCTACATGCACTTGTAGCATGCTCATTCAAGGCCCCTTTGGGGAGGACAGTTGGTAACTGTAAACAGTATTTAACCATTTTCCGAAAATCGTAGGCATGTCTTGTAAAATATCATTCATTGATTTTTGAAATCCTCCTTGGCCTACATTATTTGAGTGGGAATCAAATAATGTGGTGAAATATTTGAACAAAAGCAAACTAAGGAGGCTTCTAAGCCCGCCAGAAAGCATAGTCCAAATTCCAAATACCCAAAACACAAGGACAATTCCACATTTAGATGAATGTTATGATACTTCGACTGCTATACTTAACAGGGATGCACGTTAAGTATATAAAGAATTCATCTACACAGACTTCAGAAACCGAAACCAAGGTATTGCAACCTAACATATGCTGAAACATTGAACATGTTGCATTCTACTTTGATGGCTAACTTCACATGAATGAAAATAATTACTTATGTACTATTCATTTGCCAAGTATTAGGTACTTTCAATAACATTTTCACATTCTTTCCTCGCTATTTAGAAAACAAATGGAAGTGCTTGACAAAGCAAAATCTGAAGAATGCACAAATTGTAACATGATACATATTCTCCGAGAGTACCATTTAATTTAAAAGTGGTAGAAGTTTCACCAGTGGGTGTTTCCTTGGGTTCAATAGATTTGTAACATACTATTTGGGTGACAAAGAATAAATAGCAGCCATAGTTGAAATGGGTAGATATGGAATGTGAAATCATGCTGTTCTTTCCTTCTACAGGTAGAAGTCCCTTCACCATGGTGAATTGTCATACTATAAAAGGGACCTACCTCACAAACAAGATACCAATAATCCAATTTCTCTGCCGATCACAACCATAAAATCAAGTCAAAAAAATTTGGGACCTTAATAGACATCCCTGCAGCCCCTAAGGTTCCAAGTATGGAAGCATAAAGAACTATAATCCTATTCAAGATAAGTACAGGTTAGGTAAGTTTAAAAAACTGTTGCACTAAAGCTGATATGATTGTGTGGCACCTGGTCGAATTTGAGCATCCGAGGCCCCCGCTGTCAAGAACAACTAAAACAAGATGGCAATAATGAATAAAATACAGTTTACATATTCTGCAAATCTTCATACTATGAAACTTCATTTAACAAGGTAACATTTCCTCAGGAAACCTAGCACAATCCATCTATAACTCATTGGGTAGCCAGTTATACAGAAACTCCCAATTAAATAGCCTATCAACAAAACATTCATACAATCTCAACAAATCACAAACAAAATCATTACAAATGTTATCATTCCTGAACTCATGGAAAGAAAGAAACTTTACTCAACATAATATCCAAGCTAGAACATGACCTTACAATACCTTCACCGGTGATGAACAGCTCTTTGGGTTTTCCTCCGCTCATAGTCAGTATCATCTGTAGGCAACTCATAACGACAGACAGGACAAGTATTCCTAATCCCCAGCCATGGGACAATGCAATCCCCATGGTAACGATGCAAGCAAGGCAGCTTCTTCGCCATTTCCCCAACACCCATCTCATCCTTGCAAACCGCACAAAGTGCATTATTACTTTCCACATCCTCTTTTGTACAAACCACAGATGGAAGATTTTCAGTAGCACTTTTTGCAGCAGGTGGTCGACCAATCAACGAAATCTCAGTCTCTGTGAACTGCCCAAACAACATCTCATACTCCATGGTATGATTATGGTCGTCATGATCACCAAAATTAAATTCCCCATCATGCCCAATTTCCGAATTCACCTCCAAGTTATGAATATTCAACAAAACCTCCCACTCCGAATTTCTCAGCCCATCCACCCTCTCAACCCCAACCTCTTCTACCGATGGACTTATGGCAGGCACTGACATGTTGGTATCCGCCTCGCCATTGAAAGACATGCTCAAAACTTCTCTCTCATCAATTCTCCCATCCACTTCTTCCCATTCGAAATCTTCATTCACATCCCTATGATCTTCCAACTGAAAAGAATCCCAACGAATCCGAAGACCCGAATCATCGTTATCACCCACAATCTCATTTTCCACTCCAAAATCATCATTTTCATTCAAATCTATCCCTATAACTCCATTTTCTTCGAAATCCGAGTCCGACCCAATGTCCACAACCCTCAAACCACCCATAAATTGTTCTTCAAATTCAGAATTATCACTATTATCATGATGATTTTCCGTACAAAAATCTAACCCTAGCCCTAAATCTAGCTCCAAATGGGTCGAACCCAATTCCTCATTTGCTTCAATGACCCCAAGATTAGGGTCAATACTCGAATCCGGATCCATCAAATCGGAGCCTCTGATCACATGGGTCGATGACTGCGATTGCTCTACGCGTTGGTGAAACAAGTCCATTACGAAATTCACCTGGTTGTGGCGGTCGAACAGATCGGCGCTGGTTATGGATCCTGGGCCCGAAACGTCTTCGTCTGGGAGTTGGGTTGATCGGCGTTGATGGCGGGTGGAGATTTGGGGGCGGGGGCGGAGAGGGAGATCGAACGGCTGGAGTTCTACATCGACGTCGAAGCTGTCGAAGTCGTGAGACCAATACGGGACGGAGTCGAGGTCCAATATAGCATCGTTTTGGAAGGAAGAGTCGTTGTCTTCTTCGTCGTCGTCATCGTTGTCGTGAAGATTAAGGTAAGAGACCTCAGCCATTGTTTCCGAAGCGGAAAGTGTGAAAGCGTTTCGCCTTTTTCGAAATTTCTGATCTTTTTTAATATGTTAATTGAGTTTATATATAGGTTTGTTTTGTTGTGTTGTGTTTGTGTGTGAAATTACAAAAAAGATAAGGAGATGGAGTGTTTGGGTATTAGAGTGTACATGATTAGGATAAGGATTGATTTTGGGATATGATATTCTTCTTAGTCTTTAAGGAAATTGGATTTAGAAAATTCAACCATGCTCAATTTTCTCTCTCATCGACATTTGAGGACAAACATTATCCCCCCCCTTTTTTTTTTTATTGTTATTAGTATAGCAATGAGAATTTAATTGCTTTTCCACTTCTTCTACATTGGGTCTAATGGGTTTTGTTAGTATTCTAACAAATAAATAATAATGCTAGTTAAATTTAATTTATTAACTTAATTATTTATAATTATTTGATTGATATTGAATCTCGATATTCGTTAAAATTTATTATCGATTCAATAATTATAATGTATTAAATCAATTAATTATGTGAATAAATTTTGATGATGCACAAATTAGTTTGCACACCACTAGTCAAGTAATAGTATAAAATACAATAAAATAAATAGAGGGAAAGAGGAAACAAGGTTTATAATGGTTCGGTCAACAAGACCTACGTCCATTTTTGATGGCTAGGTTCGCCGAAAACTTTATTAACTCAGAGGTGTAAGGAGAGCAAGGATTACAACAAAGAGAAGAGATGAGCTTGACTCTTTTTTAGATGCCCCCCAAGTGTTGGGGAAGCTTACAATTTATAGTTTTATGCGTAGTAATTGGATAGCTAGTCTGACGGTCATAATTGAGGCCGTTTAATAGTAATTGAATCTCTTGACGACTTCTCTTTTCCTTGGCGACCTCTCCTCTCCTCAACTGGCAAGGAAATTATGATGCACTTCAAAGGACTTGGTCAAGGTATGTGGAAAGGTTGACTCTCTCCAGGTCGTGTGGGATAGGTTCCAGGATGTTCCCTTGGTAGTGCAACTCCCTGATAAGCTTGTCTAGCTTGGACCTCGTTTGGGCTGGACTTTGCTAGATCTCTAGGGATTGGATCATTAATTTAAGTCGGGCTTATAATATGGGTTGGGCCCTTGGACCTGACCCATCATTTGCCCCCCAATGCCCTGCGTTTAAAGAACTTAGAAAGGAGGGCATTCGGTTTGACATATTATGGGCCCCATTTGGAGTTTCGGATCAAAAGTTACGGTCAAAATAGCGTACACACCTTTTTTAAAATTTTCTAAAACTTCTCTTGGTTGGCGACCCCATCACTTCCAAGACCCCACCACCTCCAGTAGACTCATTTTGCTTATAGGACCCCTTAACTATATCAGTTCCCTCCTCTTTTTTTTTTTTTGCTGCTCCAAGAAGATTTTAAAATTCAAGTGTCAGAATATGTGTGCCTCGTATTTACTGTATGCACAATGACAAGGAGGTAGATGCCAGAACGAGCGGAGCGAAGCGGAGTCCGCGACGGCATTTGCCTTGCGGGGACACTGATTAGTTGGGAGTGCGGGGGCAACACCCCCGCGGTATGGTACAGGGGTATTTTTGCAAATACTTAAGATATAACCCAAGAAAACCTTAGCTATAAATAGAGAGCCTCCTTTCATCCTTACTATTTCATTCATTCTTGAGAGAATTGAAGGTGGAGCTCTTCTTGAAACCTTCCAAGAACATATTAGTGTGACTTTTCTTGAGATCTTTGTAGACCAAAGGCTTGTTATTCTTGAGTTTCTAAGTCATCAATGTCGACTGTAGAGGAAGAGATTCAAGCTTCCATTGATGTGGGGGTGCAAAGCCCTCTTTTTGGGGCTGATTTTGCTGGTTTCGGCGAGCAAAGAGATGGGCATGACTTTGGCGAGGCTGGGCGATCAAACTTGGAGAGGCGAACAAGGGGGAACAGTCCGCTAGGTGAGCAGCCTGGGCATGCCAGCGTGTTTGGCGAGCAGCCTAGGTGCTCCAACCTGTTAGGCGAGCAACCTGGGCGTGCCAGCCTGCTAAGCGAGCAGCCTGGGTCCTCCAGCTTGATGGGTGAGCAACCTAGGCGCTCCAACCCATTGGGCAAGCGGATCAGGGAGATGAGAGCTGTGCAGGCGCCTATAGGTGTTGATTTGTACAGCCTAGGCGAGCTGCCTGGGCACACGAACAGCCTGGGCAAGCTGCTTGGGCGTACAAACAGCAAGATTGGTGTCTCTGTTGCGCAGGACCAGTTGGCGCGAGCTACTCCAATCAGGCGAGCAGGCTGTCCTGGGTAAGCAGGCTGTTTTGGGTAGAGTCTTGGGCATTGAGGCGCCTAGGATGGACGCCGATAATGATGCAAGCGCACGAGGCAACCAATTAGGTGGGCAAAAAAATGCTCCTTTGGACTTTAGCTTGAGAAGTTTTGGAAAGGAAGTAGCTTTGGGCAAGCAAGAGGCTGAAAAACAGCGTGCAATGAACACTTTTGGTGGTGGGGGTCCAACTCCTCCAAATGTAACTTCTCAAAATCAAATTCCCCGAGACCTTTCTGGCAGCGGCTTGGGAAGAGCTTTACACCCTCGCGCCAAGAAGCATCGAGGCAAGGTAACCCTCGATGACGATGGGTTCAAAGTAAGTACTATCTCCAGCACTTTAAATACGGACGTCAATATTTTGCAAGTTGTCTCCGCCTACCACATCCCTCCGACTGTGTTGGGTCGTCGAGCCGAGATGGGTGAGCCTGCTTCTGACGACTCCTCTAGTGACATTGCCATCTATGAGGAGATGTTGGAGGTTGGGCTTAGGTTCCCCATGTCTCATTCTATATGTAGCATTCTCAGGTACTTTTCCCTCACCCAGGGGCGATTGTCACCCAATGGATGGAGCGTTTTGCAATGCTTTCTGGTGCTGTGAAGGAACATGCATCATGAGGATTCTTCTCCGGAGGAGTTTCATAGAGCTTATACCTTGAGTGAGACCCCTGCTCCCAATCGGGGTTGGTATTACTTTACCATGAAAGACAAACTGCTCACCGGATTGCAATCTAACTGTTATAGTTGGAAATCACGTTTTTTATTTGTTGGTGGAGAGTGGACTGCAGAGGCAGATAGGACTTTGATACCGAGTGGATGGAATGTTCCTAAAAAACTTGGTATGCCACACACTTACTTTCTCTTTTTTATCTTTTTTTTTTTTTTTTTCNCTTTGACCATAGGTGGTTTGCTATTTGTTTGATTTTAGTTCGTTTGTCATTTGTTTGATTTTGACGGTTCTCTACATGTGTGTTGATTGTTCTTTAAAATTATGTTTCTATTCATTTTAGTTAATTAGAATGTTATTTNCCAAGAGTGGAAACTAGAGGCGGTGAGAACTTATCCTGAAAAAGACTTTGGAGTCCTTATGTCCAAAGATGGTGGTGCTACCCCGAAGTCCAGTGGCTCTTCTTCGAAGACGAAAAGTGAGTTAGTTCCTTTGTAGCTTTCTCTTTTACTTGGTGTTTTCCATCTAGTTAACACTTTATTTGCTTTGCAGCTATAGATAGGGAGAAGCTTGGATCTCGCCTCTCTGATAGGAGTTCTCCTCCTTCCAAGGTGGCGAAGAAGACTTCCAAGTTGATGGCGCGCGACGCCTCCCAAATGACCTTGCCGCTTGAGGCGTGCTCTTCTCAACCACCTCCTCAAGTGGCACCTTCCCATAAAGTGGCTCCTCCAGAGGTGCCTCCTCAGGCGAAGACTCCCTCAATTGGACCTTCCACTATAGAGTCTCGNTAAAAAAAATCCAAAGTCAATTAATTATTATAATTTTTATTACTAATTGATGCATTTTTAATAAATTATTTTGTTGTTTTATAGGGGTTTTGTGTGCAGATGCAGATTTGTTTGAAAATTATTGCTATTTAGGAGGATGGCTAGAGGTATTTTTCATATTGCATTTCTTATCTTTTCATGCTTTTTTTNTACTTGTCATCAAGGATTGGCTTGGGTTGTTTTTGTGAAAGAAGGATGTGGATGAGATTGGAGCCTTGGGTACGGAGGGAATTATTAGCTTTTTCCTAGAAGGCTGGGCTCAAATAAGAGTTTATTTTCTCTCATTTCTCCCTTTCCATAAGTGTCTGACCTTCTTTTATCTTCTATTTTTCTCCAGGCTTAATCAGCATCTATGTGTTTACTTTTAAGGACCCTTCTTTATCACAAGCTGAAGCATGATCATGAAGTTGCGCAAAATGATTTTCGTGCTGCTTAAGAGAGGATAGCCGAACTTGAAGGTGCTGGCAGGATTTATGACGCTGACCTTGTGGCATCCCATAAGAGNCGAGAGAATTTGGTGGGGTTTTGAATATTTTTTCAAGAAAATCTCTCAATAGCTATTGATTTGTTAGATTTTTAATAAAAAAAAATTTTGGCAGTGGATACACGTGATACTTGGGTGGAATGAAATATGAGCAGAGAGTATGAGAATTTGTGGTGGGGACAAACAAGTTTTGACTAGATGTAATATGTTGGTGATAGTAGTGTTGCAGAACAAATGATTTTATATTGAAATTGTANTGGCGATCCATAGAAGGACAGCCAGACTCGAGGTTGAACTTACTGAGGTCTGTGAATGGGTCATGGTCAGTGAAGCTGAGCTTTCGGCGGCCCATGGGAGGGCGGCCACGCTCAAGACTGAGCTTGTGGAGGTCTGTGAAAGGGCCACGCTTAGTGGAGCTGAGCTTTCGGTGGCCTATGAGAGGGCGGTCGTGCTCGAGACTGAGCTTGTAGAGGTCCGTGAGAGGGTCATGCTCAGTGAGGCTGAGCTTGCAAAGACCCGCGAGAAGACCATGCTCAGAGAGGCTGCCCTTGAGGCAGAGGTGAAGGCTGCTCAAGAAAGAGCTTCTTGGGCTGAGGCGAACCTGGAGAATGGCGTTCTAGATGCTTTCATTGATGGTTATGAGGAGCTCCGGGGAAAGATTTCTACCGCCATCCCCAACATTGATGTCTCAGGCTTCTTGCCAACTGAGGCACCTG